GTTGTACATGCGATTGTGCATGGATTGTAAGCATGAGTTGGGATTTGAGCATGTGATCATTGGTTTATGCAAGTTCATAATTTTGTTAAGTTGAAATTAGATATGATTGGAGTTATGCCATTGTTATATATTGAATTTGCATTACAATAAGTAGATGGGAGTTTACCCAAGAAAGAGTAAATAACAATATTGGAAATCCACATGTATGATCTCCATTGAGAGTTGCACACAGTAGTTGGTATATATTATCAATTACATTTCCTTAATACTGTCATTAACTTATGAGCATGATATCAGCTGGACATAATGCTTAGTATTGTCAGTTCCTACGAGGGAAAGGCTGGGTCAAGCAATTATGACATCCCATAATTTAAGAAGGGAGAGTAGGGCTAGTTTAATTACATGGGTTATTCTTATATGAGTTACTAGCCCATGGATTAGGTCAAAAAATATAAGAAGAGGAATAAAAAGGTTGCATTTGATCATGCAAGTTATTTTTATTAATGCATTATTATTGTTACATGAAATGCCAAATGTAGTATGCTTTACTTATTGTAGATTTCCACACTTTGATATACTTTGATTAAACTGCTTCATTACTAAAAAGCCCTAAGTTATGTCAAACTTATCAAAGAAACTAAGGTGCAGTATTATGAGCACCCTAAGTCATTTTATCCATAAGAAGAAAGCATATTACAACTAAATTAAGCCAATAACCATGGCAAATTAAATTTTCAGAATTGAATTAAAGAGTTAAAAAGAGAATTTAGATGTTTATATTTGATTTTAATGTGAAGAAAATGTGTAGGGATCAACCAAGTATCAAAGTGGCTTTCTAAGATTAGAATCCACCACTTCCATCCTCATTATTCCTCACCTTGTTTTAGATTCAATTACCCTATTCAATTTGTGTGCGAAAGTGTCTTAATGGCTATCAAGACAAGGTGATAGTGATTAGAACCTAGCAACAACTTAGAATCCAATGCATAAACCATGCAAATAAATACACCAATATGTGATTTAATCCTTGAAACTAATTTTAGCTTTTGCCTTGATCATGTTTAATACCTTAAACTAATCAAGATTATGATATTAACTAAAGTTTTTTAAGACCTAAACAATAGCTTATACAAATCTAAACAGCAAGAGATTGAAAAGAAATCATGTATTCATTCATTAAAATCTTGAGGCATAAACACAAACACTTAGAATGCACAATTAGTTTAAAGATTAAATATATATTCTCTCTTTTTTAGAACATGAATTTCAGCCATAATGATTAATCTAAGAACTAGAATCAATTATCAAGAGCATGAATTACATAATTAAAGAAGGATAAGAGAAGAATTCAAAGCAATTGAAAGCAAGAAAAAAGGTTTAGGAAAACTCAAGATGTGGCTTCATCTTACTTGGAAAGCTTTAAGAATTTAGTCTCTCATGGTAAATTCTTCTTGAATCTAAGTTTGAATCCTCCTTGAGATAACTTTCATGACTTCAATACTTATTTGATATGAAAGATTGAGGCTAAGAAGTGTGGGAAAGTAGAGGAAAATGTGAGGAAATTCGGATAAAATGGTGCTGGAAATTTCAAAAAAGTGAGAGAGAATATATGTGTGAATTGTGATGCGTAAAATGAGTGAATGAGTGTATGCAGGACCCAAAATCCTATATTTAGCTTGTGATGGTGTAAAATGAGTAGAATAGGATAGGTTTTAGGTGATCAAAGTCATAAAATATCTGAAACTACTTAATAAACTTAATTAAGAAGTTCAAGAATGAATATAGCCACCACTTAAGCTATGTTAACTTGGATACACATGTAGCTCTTGTAAGATGCTCCGCACTAAATTAAAACTTACTAAACCCTTTTAAAAAGAAGATCAAAAGGTGATCAAGGGCTTCTTGTTCAAAATCCTCAATGCTTGGAGTCATTAAGAGCTCTTTGAAGCAACTCTTGCACATGTCACTCTGGGATCTTCTTGCTTTATAGTTTGTCTTGTAATCCCATCTCTTTGCCATTCAATCTTCAACCAAATCCTTTTTTGCACCTACAATTATATATATAAGAGTGATTAAAGCAAGTATGGATAATTTCAAATTAAAACTCCAAGCTAATTATAAGATAAAATATCATTCCTAACCTTCTAAGTTATAAAATATGATAACATAGTATTAATATCTTTGTCTTGAAAATTATGTCTCATGTCTTTTGATGTCTCTTTGCAACCTAAAATGAGTTTGAATTTTAAACTTGCTTTATCGATTTCAGGAAGATAAAAGACACAAAATAAGCTAATGTCCCAAAATTGCCTAGAAATTGTCAAAATGACCAAAATATCCTTAGATTATCAGTGAATTCTAATTAATTCCAAAGGCCCAAAAATACCTAAATAAATTGTATGTAAATAATGAATATATTAATTGCTGAGACTGTATAATCTCACTCTTATTTATTAATACATTTTTAGAAGACGATAAGGGTAAAAGCAAGGGGGAGGTAGCAACAACTATAGATTAGAGTTTCATTTTGCAAAGCCTCTGGTTTATCTTTTCTGCAATTTGAATACTAATTTTGCCAACATCATGATTAATTTGTATATGTTTAACTGTAGTCATTGGCATGTTGCCCTTAGTGTTGACTTGGGCATTTTGGTTATTGGCCTTTTATGTTTTGAGTTCAACCATGCAAGTGTGTGGTGTGTATACTTAATATTTAACTCATCTTGATGTATTGAAGATTTATCCATATTTAGAATGCAAGTTGAATAGTATGTTTGTTTAGTTGCTGGTTGCTAATGGCTTAAGTTGAGGTTAGGCATTTAGTGAGGAAATGGAAACACTTTTGGTCTTAGGCATCCAAAATCCCTATATACCATCAAATAGTGGTGAGGTTGTGTGATTATCTACATGTGGAAGCTTGAATCATCTTAATTAGAGGTCTGAGCTGAAAGTTGGACACTTGGAAAGTTAGGAATTGAATGTTGTTATGTCTATTGCTATCATGGTTGGCTATGGCAAATGCCTATTCACAAGTTGGTCAAGATGGATGGTATATTTAGCTACAGTGAGTAGCCTTTGTGCCACAAGCTACGACAGACATGCTCTTTAGCCTAGTTGAATTGGTTCAACTTTGCAAAACTGACTCTCATGACCTTATTTAACTTGTTTTTAATGCTCAAACACTTTCCATGCTTTCTAAATTGTTCTTACTTTGATTTGTCTTAGTTTATGACCTTAATTATTTATCTTCAAGTTAATTCTTATTCTTGGATCCCATTTAGTTGGTACTCTTAGATTTGATTTTTGAAATTTTTAAATAGTCAAGGTTGATCAATCCTCTTTTGTATCTTTTTTAATCTTTATAATTGGTCTCAAGCATCATGGTTTGTTGTGAGTTAATGTCTTGGACATTACACACTCTATCTAAAAAAAGTTAAGTTTAACTATTAGTTAATAAAAAAATAAAAAATTACAGAAAAACTCATAAAATTGTAAATAAGTGCCCTATAAAAAAATAATATAGATTAAATCCCTAAAGTAATGATCAATCAAAATTGTATTTTGGTCTTTTATATGGGTAAAGAATAACATCTATATTCTATCACTTATATGTAAATTAGAGACTTAATTTATATTTATTTTCTTATAGCATACCTATGTGTATTTTTATGAATTTTTTATTGTAATTTTTGAGGTTATTTTTTGTAATTTCAAAGTTAATTAATGATCAAAATTAACTTTTTAATGGCAAGGTGCTTATATATTATTTTCAAATTTTAAAGAGAAAAATTGCATCACATGAAAGTTTAAAATATCATATATTCTTGAGTGAATAGTTAAAAAACAAAAATGCTCTTTAATCCATAATTAATTATGAAGTAATTCAAATAATATTTTGAAACATGAAATCCTCCCCCCCCTTGCCACGTGAACATGAAATCTTATTAAATCTACTGAATACACCCTTCCATACCATATCACATTTTGAACTCATGGCCAAATAAACTCTAGGACTTAATTTAAATTGCTTCACACACTCTCTTCTGTCCATATATGAGCTTTTTTTTTTTTCGAACTAATTTTAATTTAAAATATAAATAACTTAATATTTATAAAAAAATCTTATTCCCATTTTATCCATTATTATTATTAACTTGCATTCTTGTGTTTACTATGAATCTATTTTTTTTTGTTCATTATAAATTGACACAAAAAATATATTTAAATTTGTTATAAAGTCATATTTGAAATTTTATACACTTTTATTTTTTTATTTTTTTATATTGATATTATGAGGTTGATAGAAATGATTTATAAAGAAGATCAGAGGAGTATATTATAAGTTTTTTTGGGTAAATTTGCAACGATTACATTTTTTTTATTTAGATAAAAAAAACTTCTAAAAATAATGAGGTGGCATTTAAAAAAAAAAAATTAGAGCGTCCAGGAGATGACCGTTAGAACTTAGAAGCTTGGCAGAATAAAATATTCCATACGGCTCGATTCTCTTCTCTTCTCTTCCTAACCGTACTTCGATACGGTTCCCGGTTTAACAAAACGGGCCATTTTTTAAAGCTGAAACCATCCTTATGTCCACGTGGACCAATTGTACTTCCCCACTTGTCCTTCTTATCACGTGACATGTCTGCAGGCAGAGGCTGAAGCAAGGGCAAATTGGTCATTGAGACATTATGGGTCAGGTTGTCCCCGCCTGAGGATTTTTCTTTTTTCATTTTTTATAACAAAAAAAAATACTAGTTTCAAACTTTTGCAGTATTCTTTGGTCAATTTTTTTTGGCAGTATCCAATTAATATTAATAGATTTATGTGCCAGAGAAAAGTAGATTTAAGTATTTACTAATGTTAATTAAATTTTTTGGCCTGAGTATTGGTTATACTTCTTAAGTTAACAAATTCGATTTAATCCGTGTAGAATATAAAAACAAAAAGAACATAGTAAATGAAAATACATAAAAACTTCAACGACGTCGATAGCCCCGTCAGACATCCCAGTTCCCAGGGTCTCCATTCCTTTCCTTCCCATTGCGTGAGAGAGAGAGAGAGAAAGAGGAAGGAACCGATGACTCTCTCTCATTAGCGTCGTGCCTCTGATAGTTTTCTTTCTTCCAGATCGTGGGTCTTGCAAATTTGGACTATTTCTACTGTTCTATCCCTTCTGGTACTTGTACTTCACCTTTTCTTTTTCTCCTCTGTTCTTTGTCACTTTATTCCCATTGATAAAAGCTTCAGCATCTTTATCTTGTCATTTCTTTTTTTGTTAAACTAAATCTGAAGTTCTGAACTTGGAAGCTACGTCACACTGGCTGCCGATGGATTCTGGAGAAAATTCGTCGAAGCTTACAGAGAGGATTCAGATAATATGGCGGTTCTTGGATGTTGAGTGACTCAAAGCTTTAAGCAGTTTTTTGGGTAGTTTTGAAGAGGTAAGTGAGTGACTTTCGGAGGGCGCGTAGTGAATTTTGAGGAGGACCATCGAGATTAATGCGTGGATTTTACTCTTGGACCATTGAGTTGCTGAGGTTGATTATTTCGAGTTGACTAGGCGGAGACGTTGTTTCCTGGGTTAGATTACACGGTGGTATAGTTTGTCCGTACAGAAGAGCATGTTCTTATCCAATTCTGATTTGCAGATCATGGTAGAAGCAGATAGTATTGTAGTCTTCAGAAGTTAATCAAACGGCGTTGCTCTGTGAACTTGGTTGTGATTGTTTTCGCTTAGAGCATTGTGGAAATGACAGGCAGATTGAGGTAAACTTCTTGAGTCTCTGCTACCAGTCAAAAACTAATATCATGATTTTAAAAGTAGATCGTAGGAGAATAAGTTAGCTTCTCTCTATATGAGAAGCAGAAAGGTAGAGAGGGTGAAAAGGATGGACTTGTCAGTTTGGGACCAGCGCTTTGGAACGGTTTTAAGTCACTGTCAAATGCAAAATTTACGTTAAAACTCGCTTACTTCATTCTCAAGCATTGCGGGTCGCTCCTATCGGAAGTTTTCTATTCTTACATTACAATTGGTCATTGTTGAAGGAATGAATAATACTCGGAATCTCACTTTCTATGTTTTGGTCCTGGCTCGTTTTTTTCCCCCCTCCTAAAACCTTTCCTTTTTTTGGGGTTCCTCTCATTTTTCTCTCTTTCTTTCTCTTTTCCCCCTCTCTCCAAGTGAACTTGACAGCAAAAAATTAGCAGAATAACCCGTGACAGGTCTTCTCTGTCTTCCTTTTTGTTCTTTGGAAGAAAAAAATGTTATGGGTTCTTACATAGTGCTAACGACTGATAGTTTTTTGATGATAGAAACGTAATTAGTTAGCATTATATTTTGTCTTGGTCTTTCCTTCTGGCAGTTGGATGCAATCTAAAGTTAGCTTGTTGTCACTGTTATTGATTTATCAACTGAAATTAATGGGTCGTTATCTTCTGAGTTTGGCGTTTATTATCCATGATTAGCTTCTTGCCAATAATGCTCAAATTCGGGGCGTATTATTTTGAGCTGCCAACTATTTCCTTTGTCTTAGACTTTAGAAAAGTAAGAATAAGTTTAATAGAGAAGCTCCACCTGTTTTCCTCTATTAGGGTTTTCAGGCCATGGACCTGTTCTGAATAACTTGTGAATTGGGCTGGGAAGAACATCACGCTAGACTTGAAGAGAGAAATGGGGGCCATTGATGGAGAACAGATGGTCAAATGGGAGAAGATGCATGGTGTGAGCGGTTGTGAAGAGAAGATTCTTGTGCTAGTAAGGTTGAGGCCTTTGAGTGATAAGGAAATTGCTGTGAATGAAGTAGCAGATTGGGAATGCATCAATGATACTACCATATTGTACCGGAATACGCTGCGGGAGGGTTCCACATTTCCAAGTGCCTACACATTTGGTAAGTAAATATCTGTCCATGAAGTTGCCTGAATTCTGGCAAATTTGTATTGTCATTAAATCTAAATTAACGTGATTTGTTTGTTTTTTCTTTTGCTAATAACTGGGATCTGGGGAATAAGCATTTGATTCAGGAATTAAGCAACTTCGTGACACTTGCATACAAACGCACTCATATTAAGATATGTGTGTAAAAGCAGTAAATGATTGCTTTGTCTTACCCAGAGAAAAAAGGTTTAGTTAATTGGGGGCTGTTTGAAACTGTTTTTATTTTATTGTTTTGAGAACTGATGTTTTGTAGAACATGTTCTAAGAACAAAAAAAATAATAAAAATAGGTGTTATTTTTTCATTCTCCCTTGTTCTTCAGAACAATAATCACAAAACACCTAAAAGTTGTTTCCATTTTTTTGTTCTCCAGAACAATATTTTGTTTTTTTATTTTTCAAAACACTTTTTGAAAAAATGTTACCAAACATATTTTTTTGTTCTTTTGTTCTAGAGAATAGAAAATTATTCTCAAAATAGGTTTTCAAACAGGCCCTTGATTGCTCTCAAGACCATTTGTTTGACGTGCTTTGGTGAGGAGATGCTTTCTTTACCTTATAATCCTTGGTTCAGCTGTTGAAAATGGATTCTTGGAGATGCAAATCATTTATTAATTCTTTAAGACTTGCTTATTTGAATCCGTGTACATCAGTTGCTAAAGTGCCAATATATTCTATCTTTCTTGTTTGTTTTCTCTTCATTTTTCTTTCTACCCTATTTATCGTACTTAAAAATATATAATATCAAGTTCTATCGCAGGATAGTGTTTGAAATTTTTTCTAGAGACATATTTGTATTGGAGGTCCATTCATCATATAGAGTGTTTTTTCTTTTATTTATTTATTAATTTTGGTTATTAATTTGGAGCTAGACAGAGTGTTTCAAGGTGATTGCTCCACAAAGCAGGTATATGAGGAAGGAGCTAAAGAAATTGCTCTTTCAGTTGTTAGTGGCATTAACTGTAAGTATATGCTGTTTGCTAGTTTCAATTTACTTTCCACTTATGCCCCAAATGCTTTGACTATATGCATCTTTATATTCTTTCAGCTAGCATATTTGCTTATGGACAGACAAGCAGTGGAAAGACATACACAATGAATGGAATAACTGAGTATTCTGTAGCAGATATTTTTGACTATATAAATAGAGTAAAACTACTAATTCTTTGACCTTTTTCCTAAACCGCTCAATACCATTTTTTTGCCAGCACTCTTAACTTCCAATTTTTATTGATCCTTTTCTGTACTGTTAGCATGAAGAAAGAGCATTTGTATTGAAGTTCTCAGCAATTGAAATTTATAATGAAGTTGTCAGAGACCTTCTTAGCACGGACAACACTGCACTAAGGCTTCGGGATGATCCTGAGGTAAATGCCTTTAATCTATTGAGTTAAAGTTTATTCAATGATAACTTGTACTAATGAAAACTTGTTCTCATGATCTCTCTTTTTAATCAGCGAGGAACCATTGTAGAGAAACTCGCAGAAGAGACTCTACGGGACTGGGCACATTTGAAAGAGCTCCTGTCTTTTTGTGAAGGTAAAGGATTTTTTGTAATCTTTTTGTTATAAGGTGATTTGTATAGTCATGTTGCCTGCTATATTCTTGCAGCCCAAAGACAGGTTGGAGAGACATACCTGAATGAAAAGAGTTCTAGATCTCACCAAATTATCAGACTGGTATGTGCCTTCTCCTTCCTTGCTTAAAACGTTATGCTTTAGTGTTTTTACTTGTAGAACTCTACTCATGGTTAGCAACCTTGCAGACTGTTGAAAGTTCTGCCCGAGAATTCTTGGGCAAAGGCAACTCAACCACTTTAGCAGCCAGTGTGGTATGTATAAATTTATAACTTCCCCCTAAATAAAATGTTGCTCTGATTTTATATCAACTAAACCTGTTTCCATGCAGAATTTTGTTGATTTGGCAGGGAGTGAGCGTGCATCTCAGGCATTATCAGCTGGAGCAAGATTGAAAGAAGGATGTCATATAAACCGAAGTTTACTTACTCTTGGAACTGTCATTCGGAAGCTTAGGTGTTATACTTCTTCCTTTGATAATGATATCATCCTTTGATTCTTAATTTTTCTTATTGTAGTTAGCAATTTAACCATGGATGTTTGGGAAAAAATAAATATTCAGAACTTTGATGTCTGCCTGCCTCTCAATCGTTGCTGTTTAATCTCTTAGTTATCTAATTTATCATTTGTGACCTTGCTGGCAAGAAGTTTGCCTTGAGTTTTCTGTGAATTTGGGTATGCGAAACTGATTAGCAGTATTTTACTATTTTAGCTGTTCACACAATAGGTTTTACACAATTGTATAACATCTGTCAGTTGGATAGTTTTTGTTAAAATCCACTAGCAATTGAGGCCTTTCTGGAGATATGATAGGATGGAGACTAGTTTGTATAATGCGAGTGTCACTCAGATGAAAATTTGAGCTTAATGTTATTATTTTTTTCCCTAGTGTCTCACTGGGATTTGCCATCAGAAAACTTCATCATAAAAGATACTCCTATTATAAAGCTTTTTATATGTAAAAGTTAGCAGTTTCCTTATTCTTCCTTGTTTAAAAAGAAAAAAATTCAATTTCCATTGACAATTTGATCTAATGCAGTAATGGGAGACAGGGTCACATCAACTACAGAGATTCCAAGTTGACTCGCATACTGCAGCCTTGCTTGGGTGGCAATGCAAGAACAGCCATCATTTGCACTTTGAGTGCTGCTCGTAGCCATGTTGAGCAAACTAGAAACACACTTCTTTTCGCTTGTTGTGCAAAGGAAGTGACCATTAAAGCACAGGTTAATGTAGTGATGTCTGATAAGGCCTTGGTTAAGCATTTACAAAAGGAGGTGGCAAGATTGGAGAGCGAGCTGAGAACTCCTGCACATGCTGCCTCCAACTGTGATTATGCAGCACTGCTGAGAAAGAAAGACCTCCAGATTGAAAAGGTCATAATTTACTTTTTGAACTTGTGCTGTTCTGTTGCTTAGTGAATTTATATAACTTAATACCTAAAAAGTTCGCACCATGTTGTAGTAGATCTTTAAAAGCATTCTGTTGTTTTAGTTGCATGACAGTGTTGTTTTGTTTTCGTGTGGGAGGGTGGAATACCAATTTTGTGATTAGAGTTGCTTGTTTAATTTTATTTTGCAATACTTGTGCATGCTCAACTTTATATAGATTAATTTCATTTCCCTATTTGTGAAGTTAATTAAGCTAAATTTTAAGTCACCTAATTAAGTTTCACCTTTTGGCAAATGGCTCCCTCCCTTTTTAGTTTTGCCAATTGAGTTGCTGAAACTTTCAATCCAAGGCAAATAGCTCATTTCACTCAAAATGTTCAAGTGTTTATGAACTCTAGCTAAAAATGTAATTTGTCTAGAGTTGTCAAATTGAGAAAACTTCACCTAGTAGTACACTTGTAAATTTATTCCTTCAAAGCCCTCCTTCAAATGATCGTTTTTCCTTCATTTACTTTACTTTATGATCTTGAGCCCTATAAAAATACGTAAAGGGAAACCAACAAGGACACTCAAGGAAGTTATTAAATAGGATCTCATGGTGAATAATACAGTTAAAGAGGTAGTTGTTGATGGAGTCTAATGGTAGCATGCGACCCATACAGCTGACTTTATTTAGTAGGTTAAGGCTTCTTGTTATTTTTATTTTATTTCATGATTGTTTGATAGAAGGAGCTATATTCACATGCCAAAAATTTAAGGGTATGATTGCCGAAATTGAAATTACACGAGTTAAGTCACCTACTGATCAATGTTGAACTTGAAGGACACTTATATTTCAGTCAAATAATATATCATGCTGTAGCTACAGCTGGATTGCTGAATATTGATGACACGTTTTTCAATCATTAGCTTGGTGCCTTCTCCTTTCTCTTTAGATATTGGTAACATGTATTTAAATTTTTCAGATGGAAAAAGAGATTAGGGAGCTAACTAAGCAACGTGATCTCGCACAGTCTCGTGTTGAGGATTTGCTACAGATGGTTGGAAATGACCATAAATCTACAAAAGTAATTTTTTTTTTCTGAATTACCAGAAAAAAAATTTTGGACATAGGTGATTATGGTATTTACTCTTCCCCTTCAAATTTAAGGCTAGCATTAATGATCATCCTATTTCACAGGAAGCGGATGATGCCTGGGAGGATGATTGCTCAGTGTCAGAGTCATCAAGCATTTATGGTCCTCGTCAGGATTTACGCCATAGAGAGTTCAACAATCCTCACTTTAATGATGGATACAATGGAAGTAAACCTGAAGGTTCCAATCACCACTCTGATGGTATTTTTTTAAAAAACTTCCAGTAGGAAAAAGTATGATAAAAAAGATGGTATTCAAGATTCTAACTGCATCAGATCCATTCACTATACATTTGCTACCTTTTGCTTGTACAGAATACCCTGATGAATATTGCAAAGAAGTTCAATGTATTGATTCCTCAAGAAGTGATAATGGGATCTTGGCACTGCCAATGTTTGGAGAGGGTAATACTGGTCAGGAAATGATGAGTCCTCTTCACGAAGAAAGTGAAACTAGCCAAATCCAAAACAATTCAGCAGATGGTGCTCAGGAGCAGAGGTCAAATAATGTACAAATGACCATTGGTTCATCTAATTCTAGGAATGTTACATTAACAAGGAGCTGGAGTTGTACAGAACATCTCATGAGTGGATCTCCTGAGAGGTCTGGGGAAACAGAGAGCACACCGGCTAATGGGTTTGCAAGGGGCTTCCTTGGAAGGCCAGAACGTTTGCGGGGAAAGTTTCCTCCATTAATTTATGGCGATGCCACAAGGTTGTCAAGGAATGATTCCCAGTCTTCTATTGGAACACCCTCCAGGGATGAGTTAAGGGTAAACAGCATGAGAATATCTGCTGATGAGGATATTACTAGTGTCCAAACTTTTGTTGCTGGGATGAAGGAAATGGTCAAACTTGAGTATGGGAAGCAGCTTGTTAATGGTCAGGTGAGAATAAGTTATTTTAATTGCCGTTGTTGGTCTTAAATTTGGAGGTAAAGATCTGTTAATTCCACCCCCCCAAAAAAAAAAAAAAAAAGTAACTGCCTGTTATTATACTACTTCCCGATCCTTTTATGGATTAATAGTGCAATTTTGGGTTGCTTTTGCATTATGTCATAACGTTGCATTTAGCTGTTCTTCACAATTATGGCTTCATGAGCTAGTGAACCTGGAGAATCACGAACTTATTCTGTAGAAAGACGTTTCATGAATTGACATGATTGCATCTGTACAATGTGTCTTGTTTTTGCTTCTCTTCATGTCATTGCATTTGGGTGCTCAGCATTAGTTCTGAGAATTTATGCTCTTGACAAAGTTCTGCTTTCTTGACTGTAGATTCAGAAGAATGTGAAAGATGTAGGCATAAACCCAATGTTAGAGGCACCTGGAACGCCTTTAGATTGGCCTCTACAATTCAAGAGACAGCAAAAGGAGATACTCGAATTGTGGCAAGCTTGTAGCGTATCGCTGATTCATAGGACTTACTTCTTTCTTCTGTTCAGGGGTGATCCAACAGATTCCATTTATGTTGAGGTAGAGCTTAGAAGATTGTCTTTTCTCAAAGAAACATTTTCTCATGAAAATAAGAACGTGAAGGATGGGCAGATAGTCACACTTTCTTCCAGGTTCCCTCTCTATTTGTGCATTTACTTCAGCATTCATATATATGGTTTTGTTGCTTTTATATTTTTGAATATAAACATGAAAAGTTAATTTTGTTTAGAACTCAGCACCTCGTGATTAGGGCTTTCACTCCATCTGTTGTTTTTATTGAACCTGATGACAAATATCTTAAGAACAAAGTTTAATCCATTTAAAGATTATGTTGAGAAGAACATCTTATTTTTTATTGATTGATGATTCAATAGAAACGTGTGATGTTGAGGAGTAGGTGTGGTTTGGTAACTAGAAATGGAGAACCAAGTGATGTTTACATTTTCTTGATATTCTGCGACTAAATATTAGGTTCTGGTTAGAAATTGAACATTGCTCTATGGAATGTAGATTATTTGTCATTTTCTTATATGAACATATTTTCGGTTGGGGAACACAGTGAGAAGGCTCTTCGCAGGGAGAGAGAGATGCTGATCAAGTTTATGCAGAGAAGGCTTTCAGAGGAAGAGAAGAGAAGTCTGTTCAAGAAGTGGGGTATTGGATTGGATTCAAAGCGAAGGAGGATGCAGCTGGCCAACCGTTTATGGAGCAACACTGATATGAACCACATCATAGAAAGTGCTTCTGTGATTGCAAAGCTGGTGAGATTCTCAGAACAGGGGAAGGCTTTTAAGGAGATGTTTGGGCTTAGCTTCTCCACACTCTATCAGACAAGGAGAAGATCATATCCTTGGAAAAATAGCAGTGCCTCGCTTTTGTAGGCCTTGATATTGGTATCTTACTCATTCTTTTGTTAATGGGAATGAAACTATGGCCTAAATTTAGTATTTGAGATGTTTTCTGTTGTTTATGGGAGTGAAACTGTGGACTAAATTTAGTATTTGAGGGAGTCATTCTTGGTTTTTCAGCCTGGTATCTTCATTTGGGCATGGTGGCCTCTAATTATGTTGTGCCACTTCACGTGTAATGTAATTGTCTAGTATCTTCAAATTTCTAGGGTTTGTTGACTTACTAATTTCATTGTGTACTAATACTAAAATATATATATATATATATATATATATTTCGTAGCCTTAATTTCTTCTTGTCCTGTAAAATCTATTCCAAAACCAGAGATTCTTTAACTCCTTTTATTGGTAAGAGAAAGTCTTTAAAAAAAAAAAATCGATTTTAATCGCTCTTCAAAATCACAAAGATCTCTTGAAAAAAAAAATAAAAAATTCTCATGTTAAATAGAGAATAGAACTTCTGGCCAGGGATTTCGACCATAATTCATACGGCTATCTTGAATATTTCTGTAGTTTTTTATTTTTCCCGGTGGACAAATATTTGTCTAGTTTTAGAAACCCATTCTCAGTTATGTTAAGCAAAACATACATGGAATGTACATATTAAATCTAGACAAAGCAACGCAGTAGAGAATTTGGTTGCCATGCAATTTCAAACTTGATTTCTTTCCATTTCTTTTCGTGGAAAAGTTCAATTAAGCGCTAGTGAAACCGACAATTAAGTTCAATTGCAAAACTGTTCACAGAAAGCCCCCTGAAAAACGTTGGTTCAAATTTGTGTAGTTTGATATATTTTTGTTGAAGAAAATATATGGTTTTAATAATATTGGATGCAAGTAAAACTTTTGCAAACATAATAGCATGGATAAATAAAAATTAGTGTCAAATACTAGAGAAAGAATGATAACAAAATTCCTTTAAATTATATAAATGTATTTTGGTCTCTCAAAATGTCATAATTCTCCAAAAGTCTTTAGAGATTTTTATGTAATTAAAGAATTAATATAAATGATCAAATTATCCTTAATTCAAATATCAATTGCTATTTATGAGTTTTGTTTTAAAATTCACAACTTTGCTTTTGAAAATCACAAGAATTTAATAATAATTCACAATTTTGTATTTAAAATTCTGATATCTTCAATTATTACAAACGTCAATCATCATTTACAAGTTTTGTTTTAAAATTTACAACTTTTTTTTAATTGCAAGAATTCAACTTCAATTTGTAAGTTTGAATTAAGAACAATTTGATTATTTATATTAATTCTTTGATGATAAAAAATCCTTTAAGGACTTTAAGAGAACTATGACTTTTCAAGAGACCAAAAAATCATTTATGTAATTCAAAAAGATTTTATTATTATTTTCCCAATACTAAATATTCAAATGGTTAATTATGAAATTTAACGAGAGTTTTTTGTGTGATTTGACCTTATTTTCAAATTACCGAGTTGCTGCTAAGCATTCATCTAAATCGCAACGCCATGGGTTAGAGAATGATGATCATAGATTCATATAGTTAGGTTGTACATGCCAGCCACGTTTAACAAAAGACCAACGAAGTTATCCTATGTACAAACAATGTCATTTGCGCATTCAACATCTTGGGACTATCCGCTCCACACAGCTCTTCTTGTTAACTTCCATTGGATGCACCTCCATCGTCTTTTCCAATGACCTTCTATGTTGCAATTCCCTGTAGGAAATTTCCGTCCTCTCCAATCAATCCAAACAATTATCTCTCAAGAACAGAATGAGCAAGAACTCAACTAACATATAAAACTTGCTGCTCCTTGTTTTCTTAACCCTCCGTACTTGAGAGGTATTTTAACATGATTTATTTATTTAAACCCCACCAATGGATTCTCCTTCAGTCTCTGTTTCATAACAATAATACTAATTAATAATTAATATCCCACCCAGCCAAATATTGCCCCCCCTCCATCACCATCACCATAAATACCCTAGCTCTGAAAGGGTTAGTGCACACCGCTTTCAAAATGTCGTTTCATTGGAATCAAAAAAACATGCTCCAAGCAGAGAATTCAGATGCAGACTGTATGATTTAATCTCAAAAACTCTCAATAAGCTTGTTACCAACATGATGGGCTATCACTACCAGTTAAGCAGAACCAAGATTAGGAAGATCATCCTTGACACCAACCCCATTACCAAGGCAATATTGTTGCGAATTTTCAGCTCTTTGGTAGCCATGGCCTTGCTGCTATGGACAATCCGCTATGGATATGAAGCTGCAACTGCATCAAGAAGACCAACTTTATATAGCCAATGGATCTCGCGGATTGGGGCTCTGATCATGCTCTTTGGTTTCTTACTTATGGCTGTGGGGTTTCCCATGATTGCTGACCTGTTTCTTAGATTGTCAGAGGAGCTACAATACCCAGAAGAATCTGACATTCAACAAAGTGACAACCCAAAAGCTCATATTTCTGTATGATTGTTTACTGTTTGGTACAAACTACAGGTAGGCAAACAGGGCATTATCTCCATCAGATCCTTTCTGCTGTCTTTAGTTGCATCGAGGCAGTAGATCCGGTTTCGATGCTTGCAGAAATAGCCTTGTGGTCTATCTTTCTTCAGCTTTTGAATGTTGCGTTAGAACTTGGAATTGCCTGGCTTATGTTATTTTCATATCAAAAGATAGATGAGAAAGCTTGTATTTTTCAAGAGGACTAAAATTACACTAGCAGGTATGACAAACTATGTCACCATATGCCAGAGAGCATGTGTAAACGAACAGAAACCACTACAACAGTCATTTAGAAAACAATAAGACGACGACTCTGCCAGATAATTATTGTGCACACCACAAAAGCTGTGATTTCAACTGATTTAAATCTATTACCAGGTAACAAATAAGTCATGTAAACAATCATATGCTCACTTAAGTTAAATACTGGTTATACTAATAACATATTATCTGTTCCGATTAACTCACTCAACTCTTCAAAATAATTGCCAAAGCTGTGAGGAAATATTGCTCAATGTCAAACTTTCAAGTAAATACGCATATTGAGTCTATAAATGAGCAGAATTATCGCTCTTTTGAGTTCTATCCACCAGAACAAGCAAATGAACAGAACCAGTGGCAGCATACACTGTCAACTTGTAGTTTCGAATGAAGTCGCCAGAATCCAACTTGATAATAAAGAAACTTCTTGGGGGTTTGATCACAGCCCATGAATCCTAAACCTTTCTTTACTACAATTATCGAAACAATATATTTATGGACAATCAATAAACTTTCAAACCTCTGGATGTCTCAAAAGAATGCTCAAAAAGGGCCGGTTTTTAATGAGTAGCATATAGTTACAGAAGACAATCCGTTGACGTCTGAAAAGCCAGGAATAGAGTTTGCTGCTGGACTTTTTTTTTGGTGTATACATCAACGAAATTGAAACAGAGAACAGAAATCAATATAGAAGCAAGAGAGTCGCAAAGCCAATCCAAATTCAAATAAAGGGTAATAAGAATACAATTAGTCACAACTTACAGCGTATGAAAGTTAAACCCTTCACTCCTTCAAGTTCGGGAGCTTAAACTACTAAACTAAAGACTACGAAGGAAGGCAGTTTGTGCATCAGCTTAGGATCAGATAAGCTTGAATGGAAGAGGCCAAGGAGTAGACCTAGGAACTTCGACCTTATCCTTAATGCGCTCAATTTTTTTTTCTTTCTTGGGCCTTGAGTTGCCATACGATCCCTTGAATCTCTTCCCTCTCTTTGTCTTCTTGTCCCCACGCCCACACAATATCGGCGCCGCTCCGTCATGTGACAACGCCGCCGCCGGTCTTCCCGGCATCATCACCCGCCTCGCCACAGCACCAAACCACTGCATCATGCGACCACCACCGATCGATACTTTCGTCTCCGTTCAAGCTTCACCAGAGATAACAAGACGAGGAAGATCCTTTATGGGCTAAGATGGACCGGCCCAAGTCATGGCCATGGAAGATCCCAGTCCCCCACCCCACCCCCCTTTCGGCCAGCAGCGGATGACCCAAGGTATGGTTCTTTTATTTAGACGTTCATAAAATATATAAAAATTACCTTGTTTAGTTCAGAATAGGAGGGAAGGGAAAATAATTAGATGATGAACACTTATACCCTTATATTAAAAAATACTAATAAAAGTATAATATAAGCTAAATTGTAATTACAATATATATATAACTATAATCTCCTTCAAAAATATATAATTATAATCATAATTATATAATTAACAAAATCCATTCATCATAGCAAGAAAGGTGGTGTTCAATCATAGAGCATACAACAAAATATCAACAAAATCACATCATTTTGGAATACAAGTGAAATACATCAACAAAGTCTTAACTCGAAGAAATACATCAATGTCTATTCCTAAGTTGATTTTGATAATCTATCCACATTTGGTTAGCAATTGTATCTCTTATAAGTTTACCCCTCGCAGCCTCATCACTCTCCCTCCTTGAAGCACGGTCATTACTAGCTTGTGCATTTTGAGCAACAAGTTTGTCATCTACTTGATGTAAAAGAGTTTTATCAGGATCTACACTCATCAAATAATTATGAAGGATGCAACATGCACCAATAATCAACGTTTGGGATTTGACACTATAAGTAGGTTTAGATGAGCTAGATAAAATTGGGAATCTTTTTTTCAACACTCCAATGAAGCATGTTGAAGATTGAACAATTCCTTATGATTTCGAGGTGGATTGCTTGAATATTCTTTCAAATGATAGTGAACTCCTCAATAAGGTGTAATAAGGCCGCTCGTTACCATGAAGCCAGCATCCACAAGATAATATTTACCTACAATAAAATAAAATAGTCATTATGTTAATTTCAAAATATTTTTTGTTACGGATTTACTTTGAAGGAACTACTAGTTCGTGAGAGACTAACCTTCAGGAATTACAAGCCTATCTTCTCATCTTAATGCAATTTTCAAATTCTTGAGTCAAATGCAGCGCCTTTCCATCCAGCAAGCACATAAGTGAACTTCAAATCAAATGTGTGTGCTGCTAACACATTTTGTGTTGGAAAGTTTTTCCTACCTTGATATCTTGGAGCATCTTTAGGAGATACCTTGGCACATATATGTGTCCCATCTATGGCACCAATACAATCTTTAAAATATGGATAGAATTTACCAACTTTACTATGTATTTTGGGAGGGATCATAGAACCATCAGGTTGGACAATTAACTTATCTTCTAATTTAAGTATGCTCTCAACACTCTTTGGAGATGACAGCTAATTGTTTCACCTGAATGACAAAAAAAGAAGTTTACTACATGATTTTTTGCTTTATGGGTTATTATGAAAAGGGTTTTGGCAACTTGTTCTTCTACACTTGCCCATCATGTTGGTTGTAAGCCACAATCTTTTTCTAACATACTATAAAGTTTTAAGAAGGCTTGAGTACCCATTATAATAAGATGTTACCCATTATCACTACTAGTTATGTGACTCATTATTTCTTCACGTACTCTTTCTTTCTTTGAACTCATACTATAACTCACTTTTCTCCTATTATTAGACATTAGGAGTATACAATAACTTGCAACAAGACAAATGAAATGAGCTACAAGCCTTCGGCGCATATCCAGCCATTCAATCAAAAAGTCATCAGATTCCATCTAACAAAGGAAAATACTTGTAATTGAAATAGATTTCAACACCAAATTGGATAACAAAAATAAATATGGATTTTACTTCTAAACACCATCTCATGTCCAGAATAGACCATAAAAATCTACGTCGTGATTTTTTTTAATCAACATATACTTTTAAAATGGTTTGTCATTATCCTATAAGATAACATTTCATGATTTTGTCATTATCATATACCATAAAAATATGTTCTACACGGTAAGATTTTGTCATTATCCTATAAGATAACATTTCATGATTTTTTAAATCAGCATATACCTTTAAAATGGTTTGTAGCCTAAACTTTGTGATCCTGGAGGAGTTCAATTCAAAATTGTCCTTGCAATCTAAAATAATATGCTATAAGCGAGGGTTTTTTGATCTTTTTCTAGGAATGGCACTCACTACTGGAACATTGGCTGCTATAATTGGCATAGTTGAAACTGATTTTTTTGTTGTTGATATTATTGGTTCTTTTCAAGGATTTCTATTGCTTACATCACTTGCCTATTTTCTTTCTGCCCTTTTCTACAACCTCTTCTGCCTTTCCAAGGATTTCTTTATTAATTTTGATGTCCCGATAAGTATAATATCTTATTAGATTTATCTTAAACTCACATTATTTTTTCAGATTTTTCTTAGTTAGGGAGTGGCTACCGTGTTATTTCTAGAGATTTACTCACAAAATCAATGGCAAACTTATTTGTGAGCCTAATCCATGAATAATGTAGTAGGCACTGTCAATACAAATAATATCTCTTATTCCCCAGCATTGAGAAAAAAAATAAAAGGGAACAAAGTAGTACTCGACAATGGTTTTTTGTTGAATTTGAGCACAAACTTCATGATCAAACGAATCACATAATGAAAGCAACCAGAGCATTTAAAGGTGTTAGGTCTGGCTTCTCTACCATTTCAGTCAACCATTCACAAACAGGTCACGATTGGGACAAGATAGAAGGGGGCGACAGAATAAAGGAAGCACAGAGCAAATTTTCATCCAGCCACAAATAGAATAAAAGGAGGCAACAAAATAGAACATAGGGGGGATGATGAAACCTGAAGGAAAAGAGCGACTAAGATGGCGCGGCGATGACGGAGGCAACAACTACAGTTGTTACGGCGATGATTGCAAGTCGCAATTGGCACTAGTGAGAGGAACGAACAATGCGGTCCAAGCCTCCAAAATGGTCAAAATGAACAAAGGAAAATGGGCTTTATCTAAAAAGGACATTTTTGAATTATCAAAATATAAGATGGGCAAATTAGTTAGAATGAAATAAAATTATATCTCTTTCCTCTATAGCCCCCCATTTTAGAGGGAAAGGTTTGGAGAGGAGGAAAAATGTTAAGATTTTCCTCCCCTCCCCTTCATTTTCAATATCCAAACAAGAAGAGGGGAGCAAAATCCCTCCCTCCCCTCCAACTAAATAAGGGGTTAAATCTTAAGACATCGCACATAATCTCTCATCTTTAAAAATTTAAATTTAATTTTCTTAAACTTTTATTTTTTATTATAGACTTTTCAGCTATTATTTTTTTGGTTATCTTATGAACAAAATTTGTCATTTCATATTAAACAAAACACATAACAGCTTATGACTTATGTAATATCTAACGCAAGTTAATAATAGTTTTATAAAATTTTATCCATATTTTTTAATATTATTATTCATATAAGTTAATAATAAAAAAATATGAATAAATTTTTATAAAACTATTATTAGCTTATATTAAATGCCATATAAGTTTTTACATGTCTTTTTTTAATATAACATGATAACTTTTATTAGTAATACACAAAAATTAGTAGGGGAGTTTGTGATGGAAAAAATAAAAAATTATGAGAGGTTAATTTTAAACTTTTAAAAATGGACGAGGTTCTATGTTTATTTTTTTTTGGCCAATGAATGAGGTTCTATGTAATTGTTTTAAAATTTAAGAATATTTTATATATTTTAATCTTTTTTATATAATTATTTGATTGAATCGAGCTCTTTCAAATATTTTTATGTATTTAGAGAATAGTTTGACAAAAGGTAAAAAGAAAAAAAAATTAGAGACTTGTTTGAAAATTTATTTTAAAAATAGTTTTCTTATCATAAAAAAAAGTTTGATAAAGTGTTTTGAAAAAAAATTTATTATATAGAGTAAAAAAATGAAAACATTTTTTAAATGTTTTGGCAAGATTGTTATCTTGAAAAATAAAAGATAATACAAAAAATGCGTATTTTTATCATTTTATTTCAAAACATGTTTTATAAAATATTAATTTTTAAAATAATAAAATAAAAATAATTTTAAATATCTAGCATATCAAAAGTGATCTAGCTGTATTAACTATTAACTGTGAATAGTTTGATGGTTAGACTCATTTCGAGCTCATACACAAGTTTTATTTTAAGCACTATTGATGATTGATTGGTTATTAAGGGCTATATTTAAATTTATTAAAAGAAAATCAATACACATAAATTTATCAACATATACAATTAATTAAATTCATCAAAACAATCGCTGTGGCTGGTCTAAAAACACAGTAGTTTGGGAATAGGCAACAGAAAAAACTGTGATTGAAATGTGGAGGTATGAAATCCCGCTCGTGTGAAATAATGGGGTCGTCCAATTCTAAGAAGAGAGAAAGAAATGAGTGATGGATATGATAATGGAGGAGATTTTGGTGTGGCTCGAAATCAAACACGAACCCTTTATTTACACTAGCACTGTACGGTCTCCTCCCTTCAAACTGTACTCTTCTGTACTGCCACACCCACGCTGACTTAGCTGCAAAGGCATACCGATGGGAATTTCTGGAGCCACAGTTCTCACGTGGTCTTACAACGTCTCTTCCTCCCTCCGTTCGGCTCCACGCTTCTCAGTATGCATTTCTGTTATATTCAATTCTTCATTTCCGCTCGCTTCTGCTTCCTTATCACGCACTCATTGCTTTCCATATATTTATTATTCCTTTTATTAGACCACCGAAGCTAGGAGATTCAAGGTGTGGTGTGGCTCTGATAAAACCCAGAAGGTATATGTTAAAAGTTTATGCCTTTTGTCTACATGGCCTTTTATCCAGTTTTGAAGCATGTAAGCCGAAGATTCTGTACTTATTTTTCTTTGACATTGAAGGGATAATTATTTTGAGCACAAATGCTATCTAATGTTTCAGGATGATATCCAAAGGTCGATAGTGAAGTTGATTAACTTCTGTTTTCATTAGAGCATGCTTTTCTGGCCATTCAAGTTAGGGTTATCTGGACCTTGTTTTGGCGAACCTGACACAGGGTTGGGATTGATGCCCCCCCCCCCCCCAAAAAAAAAGAAAAAAAAAACAATTTTTTGTCCCAAAAAAAGGATTGATGGGTTTAAATGGTACATTCACATATTTCTGGGGCTACGGTTCCGTTTATTACTTCCCCGAGCTTGATAAGTATGCATCAATCTATAAGATTGCCAAATTCCAAAATTTGCAGAGGGATGATCTGCTCATTTTCATTTAATATATCTCGTGGTTTATAAAGATCAGTAATAGGCTTGTTAGGAAAGGTTGCCATTTTTATGCTGAATGCTTTTTAAGGTCCATAATATAATGTTTGGGATAATTTTGGTTTACTTTTGCTTCTTTCAAATCATTGACCACCGAGTGATTTCAGGAAAATCAAATGATCATATCAGTAACTGGAGCAACGGGCTTTATAGGTAAAAGATTGGTGCAAAGGCTGCATGCAGGTTATTCTCTATCCAACTCTCCCGCTAGCCAAGTCTTTTGAGCTTTAATATGTTGAAAAGTATATATCATTTTTAATACATAGTCAATATCCGCTGTTATCTCAGTTAAGTATGCTCTCACGTGCATTTGATGTCAACTTTTAATTGTACCTGCTTCAAAATCCTTTTCCATGAAAGCATTGTGGGGATACTATTCTGTTAATATTTCATCAGATATTGGAATATAAAATTCAAGCCATTCACTGGCCAAACTTTATCATTAGTTGTGGCCTGTGAGACAGCTGTCTTGCCTGCCTCTGTATGCTCACGTAGCAGTCATAGATTTGCTATCCTGCAAAGGCAAATAGATTCCCTGGATTTTGTTACCCTTGCCTGTCTATGCATCTTATTTGAATTCTGTGCCCTTGCTGGTAAATAATTGAATAACTAAGCTAATATTCTCTTCCCCAAACTTATGATATTTTCCAGACAATCATAGAGTTCGTGTATTGACGCGCTCTAAATCCAAGGCAGAACAAATTTTTCCGGGTAAGAAGGTAATAATTAAATGTAATAATTTGCGTGCACATGCACACACAGAGTGCAAAATATATGCCTGTTAAACTATTTAGCAGCTGCGAACTCTCCTAGTTTAAGACGCGAGATGACGATCACACTTCCATTTCACTTACAAATGGCAAAATATTTTACATTCATTTCTAATTCTAATGTACCATAATTTGTTGTTGTCACTTAATATTTATGAATCATTTTGGGTTCCTCACTAGAGAAATTTTTTTATTTTCCTAGTAATGGTAGAAACAGTAATTTCTTTCTGTACTCCAAGATGCATCTTGATGCATATAGCACTCTGGTTTTGACTAATTAGCTGTTTACATTGCCCTTGGGTTTCCCAGCAAAAGACTTTCCCGGCGTCAAGATAGCAGATGAGTCAGAATGGAAAGACTGCATTCATGGCTCAACTGGTGTTGTGAATTTGGCTGGCATGCCCATAAGTACGAGATGGTCTTCTGAGGTATAATCATATTCTTATTCGATCCACTCTCACGCTAAGGTCGTCACTGAGGGATGATAAATATCTTTCTTTTAATATTTGTGCTTTGGCTCTCTGTATACGAAGTATCAGAGTCTGTTTGTTTTCTGTTTTTAAAAACTGTTTTTTATTTTTAAATAGAAAAATTTAAAAATTTGTTTGAATAAGCATTTTTCATTTAGTTGTTTTTAAAACTGTTTTCATTTTTTTTTGTTTTTCAAAAACAAAAAAAATAGAAACAATTTTAAGTTGTTTTAGTTTTATTTTTCTTATTTTTAAAATACACTGCATTTGATTATTAGAAATTAGAATTAACTTGACCAATTTCTATTATTAATCAACATTATTAACTGTTTGTAACCATCGCTATCAGTCAAGTTTTTAATTCTAAAACTGTTTTTCAATTGACATAACCAAACAGGTTTTTATTTTTTGTTTTAAAAATAATTTTAAAAATTGTATTACAAAACAACTTTTAAAAACAAAAATGAGAACAGAAACCAAACAGGCCCTTAAATTCCCAATTATCAGCATATGTCTTGCCTTTCTTATTGTGCTGGAAACTTTTACATCCTTACCTTGTCAAAATGCAAGTGTAAAACTTATATTGACCTATGTTAATTATATTTGACAATCTGTGGTGTCTTGATCAATTGTTAAAAAAATGTAAGTCTGCAAGATAATACTTGTGAGACTTGAAGATTAGACAATACAAAACGGTACACTTTGTCCTTACCTCTGTTCTCTGCGCCTGCTTTATACTGCTGATAATATGAGCACATGCCTAACACTAAACTGGTATATTTATCTCAATGCTGTAGATTAAAAAAGAGATCAAGGAGAGCAGAATCAGAGTTACATCCAAGGTTAGCATTCAATTCTCTTACGAAAATAATGAAAACAAACATTTTACTTTAAAAAATGTGCATGTCAAAAGAATTTCTTCGTCTAACATTTTCATCTCAAAGCAAAGGTTGTAGAATGCATAAACAGTGCACCAGATGATATTCGGCCGAAAGTTTTAGTCAGTGCAACAGCTGTTGGTTATTATGGTATGCTTGTATCCGAAGTTATTTCTATGTTAGTAAATACTCTTCATGCTTTTTGACACGTAATATTAGTGGTTATTACATGTTTTGGTTAGCAAATGTAGAGCGTGTTCTATACTCACCTGACTCTTTTAGTTGAGGCTGCAGGTCTTGCATATTCTTTATCTCTTTTTGATGTTTTATTCTTCTTATGCCGTGGCAGGCACCAGTGAGGCCAAAGTGTTTGATGAACAAAGTCCCTCAGGAAAGGATTACTTGGCTGAGGTAAATAAAATTTGTGTTGTTCATATCAATGTATGCTTTGAAAATCTCCCATCACAACAGCGATAATAAGGCCAAGTTAGCCCACTGAAAGTCTTGAGAGTACTGCTTATATAGTCAAATAAATATTGATCTTTCTTAAGTAATAGTTTGATAAGAAAATATATCCATCCATAGGTTGAGTTCCATGCACTGTGGAAAGAACTTGATGTTTTATGTACTTAGCCTTATGTTTGTCTTTCTTTTAAGAGGCTGACCCAGAAAAATAATATCACCATAGGATTTGATGTTTCCTGATGGAAAGGTTACTGATGGTTCCTGAACTCGTGAGTTGCAAATGCAGAGATGATATGAAATTGTTTGCCTTGAAAGTTAAAACTTAAAAGTGTCTCCTTCAATGATATAGAAGTTGAACGAGTCCTGATGCTGATGACTTAGAATTGAGGATTGCTGTTTTTGAACTTCCACATGGCGCATCTTGTTTTAGATAAACACTCCTTTATTCCTCCAGATTTGGGAAAGACGCGATCACTCAGATTTTGATTCAAGTTATATCACCACGAGGATTGTTATTAAGCATTCTGTCATATTGCAAGGACTTGTATTGGCTCCTTCTTGGCTTGAAAAACTGTGGAATTTGAAGTTATAACACTAAATTATAACAGACGCAGTGTGTCGTAGTGTACACTTGAGCAACTACATTGCTTTGACAGAAGCTGTGCAACTCTTTCAGGTTTGTAGGGAATGGGAATCAACGGCTCTTAAAGTAAATGGAGATGTAAGATTAACTCTAATTCGTATTGGTGTTGTCCTTGGCAAAAATGGTGGAGCACTAGGTATGTACAAATTAACTAATGTGCTTCTCGCAATGACTTTTGGAAATGTGCAATATTACTGCACTGTAAGTGATAATTCCCTGTATGTCTAGCTATGGTTAAAGGTATCTTGTGCTTATGAATTGGATTATGAAGGAGATGGCTAATATAGGAGTCAACCTTCTGACTCTGACATCCAAAACATATTTGAAAATTTCAGACTTCAAAAGATGTAGATGATTCTTGAATTCATGACACTTTATTGGTGAAAATGATACATCTTTGAACCTGTGCAGCTAAAATGGTCCCACTTTTTATGATGTTTGCTGGTGGTCCTCTGGGCTCCGGAAGACAGTGGTATTGCACTCTATACCTTGTCCTCTTAAGAGGTTACTTTGTGGTATTGTCTGTTATCACGACACAATGCACGAAGAAATTTGGAAACAAATCCTGCTTCACCCCCTGACCGACAATCACCTAAGTTTTCTACTTTAGCTACCAGTGTGCTATAGTAACAATGCAGAATTTTGATGCATCGGTTCCTGGTTTTGGTATAATTTTCAGGAAGATGCAAATTTGACTATTCTCTTGTTTGTACAGGTTCTCTTGGATTCATTTGGATGACATTGTCAATTTAGTATACGAAGCATTATCAAATCCATGTTATAAAGGTAAACACACTCCTATGCTCCCAAGATGAACGGTATCAAATGTTTGTACATGTATACCTTTGAAATAGCTGTCATCATAGCCATTCTTCACCAATGCTATTACGTTATTCAGTTGAACACGTTTCTTGTTAATAATTGAACAGTATTATCATTAATGTGGAATCTTGATCCTGTTCATTAATGAATTATTTTGAACCTTGACCAAGAGTTGCTTCTTATTGGAGCTTATGCTATATGTTAGGAGTTATCAATGGAACTGCACCAAACCCAGTCAGATTGGCAGAATTGTGTGAACAACTGGGAAGTGTCGTTGGTCGCCCATCGTGGCTGCCTGTGCCTGATTTTGCCCTCAAAGCTGTCCTTGGAGAAGGTGCCTCCGTGGTAAAATTCCCTTATCATCTCCGGTTATTATTTGCTCAGTCCTTATAGTGTCAGAATTCTTAGGTAGACAAGTATATCATAGAATAGATGACCGAACTAATTATGAATGAACATGTAGCAAGGTAGTTCATAAAAAAAAAAAAAAAACGCGAGGTAGGTTTAGGTTCCTCTAAAAAAATAATATCCGGTTTGTCTGTAGATTTTTATTTTGAGTGGAAAGGGGAGATTTCATTCAACGAATAACCATATACACCAAAAAATATTGAGAAATACAACAAGAAAGAACTAGAAAGGAGCTAAGCACATAAATCCAAAACTTGGGTGAGGTCTGTAGATTTATTTATTATTGGTTTTGTTTCCCTATCTTATATACCCTGGATTTATCTATGAATCTCTCTTTACTGCCCATATTGTACTCTTTGCATTAAATCCTTAAAGTTGTTTGCAGGTTTTGGAAGGGCAAAAGGTTCTGCCAACAAAAGCCAAGGAGTTGGGTTTCCCTTTCAAATATCGTTATGTGAAAGATGCCCTCAGAGCAATTCTTTCATAAACACACAGTTTTGACATTACCAACTTCTATATTCTTTATTCTTTTGATTCAGGGCATTGGCATTTCCAGATATCAAAGGCATCACCAAGGAAGTTTCCCAATTCCAACAAGACGTGAAATCAAAACCACTAAGTAGATTTTCCTTATAGCTGAGCTAAAATATAGAATTAGTAAAAATATGGTTAATTGTCGGGATGTAAATAACTGTGGGGCTACTTCAGCTTCAGTTATGTACCCTTCTGATTACTTATTGCCAATGTTTAAAGAGCTCGAATTTAGTCCTCAAGTGATGTCTACATAATACGAAGTTTGAAACTCAACCTATTATCAGGAGCTAAAGAATTATGCCTAGAATGTCTCTTAATGCCTTCCTTCTGTCGCCAAATTAGTGACTTTAAATAGCTGGACAAACAGATGGGTGTGTTCTCTTATTACTGTAAGGCAGTTACACGAGCCGTAGGCTTCTTATTGCATCATACTGTGTCATCTTCTCATCATATGAAGACAAGATTAGTAAAGTACAGTAAAAGTTCAAAGCACTTGATTTAATATTTAATCAACCCCTTAGAGAGTACTTCTTGCCCATGAAAGCCCGAAATTTTGGTTGTTCTTGTTGAGGAGGCTGTCGATTTAATTCCTTCCCCTGCCAAGTGTGAGAGATACATAAAGAATAAGTTTCGAAATTGTAAGGGATTTACGTCCTCTTAAATTTTCAGAAATTTGCAGTTGGTTTCGTAGGAAATAAGACATATTGTGTTATGTCCATTCTATTGTGAGGTCTATTAATTTTACATATTGTGTATTCTTTCTTCTTTAAGCATGACATTGTCAATTTTTTACAGATCTAAATGTTTTAAAGCAGCAGCAGAGTTACCTTTCTTATTTCTGTAGTACGGTATACATCAGATCCAAAAACAACGTTTCCTTGAGATTGAGGACTCCTTCGTTGAGAACCAGGTGCTGCAGAAGATAGCGAATTCCCATTTGGAGTCGGAGAATATAATGAAGGAGATTGATACTTCAACGGCTTTCCATCCAAACGTTTTCCGCTACCAGAAAAAGGGTTGAACTTATGTTCTTTATTAGCTTGAGCCTCCTTGGCTGTAAAGAGTAGCATGAAGTTAGTCAAAAATCATATTTAAGAATAAAGGGTTGAATTTAATTAAACAAATTGAAATTTTCATAATATATATACTCACAAAGCCAATATTTTTATAAAGGCTACTATGATGACATCATCCTATGCTGTCATGCTATCTCAGATGACATTAAACATCCAAGATATCAGGATTAAAATGTCATTATGTTTAAATACTCCCCTTAATTTCACACTTCTTGAAATGAAGATCCCAGAAATGATCTTCTTTAGTGTGAGATTACTCTGATGTATAAAACACAAGGCGCAATATGGAGAAAATGCACCTTTCTTCAGTGCAGATTTCATGTAGTCCAAGGGAGGAGCCAAGTCCACCTCACAATCAGTGTCAACGATGGTTATTGCATTAGCAGGCTTGGTTTCTATAATATCAATGTAATACTTTTTGTTGTTGTATGCCACCATGATGCTATCTCCGGTGGTTAAGCAGGTAAAATTTCTCAGAGTGGTCTCTAACCTGCATTTAAAAAAAAAAAAAACAGAAGTCAAATGTCTGAAAGGAATTCTGCATACAAATGCAGGAAGCATATTTTTCCTTTACATAAGACAGAGAGAACAAAATATCATTGAACAATCATAACAAACCCTAGACACATATATAGAACGTGTCAAACATTTATATCATGAGCATTTCAAGATTTGTTGTCTTGCTACGGCTATATCAGTATCCATGCTTCCCTGTGTATCATGCATAAAAAACTCAATCCTTGCTCCATTGGTTTTAACACCATAACCAAATAACTATGAAGTAGAAAGATGCATATAGTTGTGCTAAAGAACAATCATGTCTATGATAATCACATAAATGAATAGGCACGACAGCAAACAGCATGCATGTGTTTTGGAAGCATAATATGAAGGGACATTCCCTATGCATATATTGATTTTAGAAGAAGCAGACTTCATTATTTGCATTAATAAACATGATGGTCATCAAACTCACATAGCTTTTGGATTAGAAATATCCAAGAAGTCCTGGGTGTGAGGTTGTAATTTAACATATGTTCCCCTGGGAAGTGTTGTATTTTTCACTCTTACAATGTCTCCCTCTTGTAAAATCATGTTCTGCATCATCTGCATAAGAACAATAAAAAAAGGCAGCTTCCAAAAAGTAATATGTTTTCGTGTTTTCTTGTGCGTGCGCGCGCGCGTAGAAAATGCCTACCCAATAAGGCATATATATTGTGCCTTCCTCTGCAATGAACTCCAGCACCCCACAATGAGAAACCCGATCAGCAGCATCATTCCGGAGTTCAAACAACATTGGATAATTAATATGTAGAGATGCTGCAGGAGGGTTATATTTAATATCAGCTTTCTAACCTTGTTAAACTTGAAAAGTTTCTAAGCATACAAGGTCAAGAAAGATGAATCAAATCAATCATAAAATGATACGTTAATATGTCTATGATGACTAGCTTCATCTACTTATTTAGGAAGCGTTATATTCTTGAAAAGATATATAATATAGACATAAGAGGGTGAAATTGAAAAACCTGACCTAGACGGTCAATGGCCGAAGGAGGCATTATAACTGAAACAAGAAGAACTCAGATCAGTATTAGACAATTAATTTGGAGAAGCTTGAAAAAACCTAATCCTGCTTGGATGAGGAAACTTACTTTTATCACCAGTTTCAAGTTGGGGCTGCAGGATTAATGAGCATATAAAAAATTACGATGGTTAGAATACTTGTTGAAGGGGAAAAAATAAAGAACGAACTTTAATGCTGGTGGTGCAGCTTTGGTTTTTCACTTTTAATTTAACCTTGCAGTTTTCCAGTTCACCTCCACGTTATTTGCTGTGAGACTTTCTAGTACTTAATTGCATGATGAAGAAAAGAATTATATTGATCTTTCTCCAAGAAGTGTAATAGTTCTGCATCAGCAGAGCTGACATTTATATCTTTGCATTTCTGGAGACTGGGCCTATAAGTCATGCGTGTACATTACAGAACGTTTTGTGCAGTATGAACTCCTTTTTATTCCACTTGTGCGGCAGCACCAGTACTTGTTAATAAAGTACGACTTTTATATTACACTGAATGCAATATAATTGGTCAAATATACATTACCCATTTATTAACTTGACTGCAAGCCCAACCAATCTTAAAAAAATAAATAAATTTTTTTCGGCAAAAAAAAAAAAAACTATGAAAACCAGCTCCAGCCTCCATGCATATGCTCATCACAACAAACACAAATACGTGGTGAATAAAGCTCAATATTTATCTTGTCAGTAATGAACAGTCACAAAAGCCGCAGACAATTACAGCTTTAACTTGGTGAACAAAACTTCTAAATCATGCGTAGTGATAATAAATACTAATTAACACGCGTGTGAAGCTAAACCTGCAAAAGAATGCAGACCTTGTCAATAAAAGCAGCAGGGTAACATCGATATGAGTGCTCGAATGACGTCCCACGATTCCCATATTCGTCGGAAAACTGCTCGCACAAACACAACCGAGTGACCAACAGATAGGGCCCAAATTATTCTACTTTTATTTAAACGCCATGTAATTCATCATAAGATTGCATATATACATATATACATATATAATCATCGGAGGAGTCAGAACAGATGAAAGTACCAATGCAGCATGGCTTGAAACCGCCGGGGGGGGGGGTTCATTTTATTTTGTGGTGAATAAAATCTGCAAATGCAAAGCTTACCATTTCTATCTTCCCTGTCTGTGAATTTTGTACAGTGAGTCAGTGACACCAGATGATCAACCCCTCCAAGTAAATAAAGAAAACTAGTAAACCCGTTTAGTTAGCAAAAAGGATTATGTTTGTTACTGACAAAACATAAAAGAAATGTTTGAAGAGCAGTAATATGGGTGAAGCAATGATAATAATAATGAATAGCAAAGAATACAATACCAGCAAAGAAGAAAAATCTGGTTGAGACAGTGAGTAGCTTGATCTGAGAATAAATCCAAGACGTCTGGAACTTTAGCGTTGGAACTTGGAAGGAGATACCAAATAGCTTGCGAGAGAAGCAAACCAGCATACCGCGTGGTGTTCACGCGACGTCGTTTTCTCGTCCGCGCGGGATATATTCGGGCGCACACTGATGCTCTCAAACAACCCGCAGAGCAAATTACTTTGAGATATGAACAATAAAAGCTTGAAGCCCAGAAAGCCCACCCATCCTTGTGCCCACTTGCCCCACCTCCACACAATTCATTATTAAGTACTATAATTAATTCATCTACAGGAAATTTTGTTTCTTTTGAATAAATTTGAAATTTTTATTCAATGTTAAATTAAAAAATAAAAAAAGACTTGTTTGATATGTATGCAGAGGTTAGAATAAGTAATAACGTCGTATGATCATTTTAGTCTTTAGATGTGTCGTTCGTGCAGACAGTAATGGAGTTAAACTGCTAAAAATTTGTGAAATTTTTCATCTCAATATGGATTGACTTGCCCTTAAACAAATTAAAAATACAGGAAATGAACTTTCTAAAATTGAGAATCCATGAGCATGACTTTGGTAAAATTTATGTTTTTTAAGAAAAAGATATAAAATTTTATATTTTATAAAAAATAATAAAATGAGAAAAATATAAAAAGAATTATATAAATTATTAATCTCAATTTTAGGGTAGCATTTAATTCCGAACATACAAATCAACGGTGACATGCGACTACTTTATTTTAAAACAACTCTTAACTATTAAAAGACACTTTTATATTCTCAATAAACCCTCTTCTGACAATAAAAGGACGTCATTAATTCAACCTGACAGACAGAGTATTAATAATAAGACACAGTATTAATTCAACTCTCCCTGGAAGCGATAAATTGCACTATATACTGCAATAGCGAAAGACATGCATTATTCTTCAACGTAGAGAGTATCGCAGCAAGAAGTCGATGACACCAAATAAGTCAGCATGTTGAAGGGGCAAGCTAGCTGACTAGACAATGCTGAAGCAGTCACCATACTTTCATCGCCATTCTCTTCCACGACAAGCTTTCGCAGACGATGCTTTAATGTTTCGAGCGTGTCCTGGGGCTTGTATTGCATAACATAAAGGACATCACCACACGACGACCCTGACATTGCATGTTTCACCGTAAACCTATGTGGGTCGTCGTCGGTCTGTATCACACGAATAACGGTGGGCCCTCCAAAAAGGTTGTGAACTCCACCTATTGCCTCATCGAAAGCTCCACCCAGAAACATTCCCACGTAGTATTTTCCAGCTTCATCGTCGTCTTTGAGTTCATGGAGGGGCAAGCTTGGTTCGTCGCCTATGAACTTGTCCACCTTCCCATTACTGTCACATGTTAAATCTGACAAGATCCCTCTTGCTGTTGGTCGCTAATCCAGACGATGAATGGGAACTATAGGAAATAGCTGTCTTATTCCAATGAATTCAGGAATGGAAGCAAACACGGAGAGATTAACATGGTATGATCGAACTGGATCATTTTCCCCATTTGCTTTACGGACCAACTCAAACAAACCGTCCGCAGCGGTAAGTTGTTCAATCCTCAAAGACCCTTGCCTAAATTGTTCAACACGTCGCTGCTTCAGTTGTTCCGCGTAAAGCTAACAGGTGTTGTGCTCTCCTCTAATGGCCGCATAACAAAGTTCATGATAATCAGCACAAGCATCCTGGGACAGTCCGCCAACCCATTACTGCAATCCAGACGCAGAGAAAGTCGGTGCTTTTTATATGCTTGTAGAAATAACCTCAAAGATCAAAATGGAATGATGAGACACGATAGGTCTGCCACTTTCACTGCAAATTACAGGGTGTTTGATGGAGTTCTGATCACAGGCATGTTGGATTGCTTGAACAACAGTTGCAGCATATTCTTCAAGAGTGTATCCAACTGAAACATCAGAATGCGTCGACTTGGAGCCATCGTAATCAATACCCAAACCACCTCCGATATCGATGACTTGCATACGAGCACCTAGTAGAACTAATTCACAATAGATTTGCGTGGCTTCTCTCACGCCATCAGTGACGCATGCCGTTGAAGGAATTTGAGAACCTACATGAAAATGCAGAAATTGCAGACATTCAAGCATGCCCACTTGTTCAAGCTTTCTCACGACCTGCTAAATCTGAGTCGTGGTCAGCCCAAACTTGCCTTTCTCGCCTGAAGTCGATCCATAATGTCCATAATGTTTTGTCCTCAGTTTAGCTCGAACACCAATCACACGCCGAACGCAGAGCTTCTTACGCAGCTCAATAATGATATCAACTTCCTCCTCTTGCTCGAGAACGATAATGGTATTCAAGGCAAGCTTCCTCGCGATCAAGGCTAGAGATATATGCTCAGAATTTTTATACCCGTTGTAAATCAAAAAGGCTTCCGGATTACCTTCCACAAACAGCTCATAGCAAGGAGGAGCTCAGCCTTGGACCTGCCTCTAACCCGAAACGGAAAGAGAAACCGAATCTCACAATGTCCTCCACAATGAACCGGTCGTGATTGCTCTTAACCTGGAAAACCCTGAAATTGGATTGCGTGTTGGAAGGCAGAGTTAATTAAGGGACTCAAGCCGGTGCTTGAGTACATCCGGAAGTCGAAGAATGAGAGGAAGTTGCAAGGCGAGACCCCCAGAAGATTTTGGATCAGCGACTTTGTTGACGATATTGAGTAAACCAATATCTTGACGAGGCAGGGTGGAGGAGTCGTGTGGGTGGACAGATATAGTTCCAGAGGAATTGACAGAGAAGCATGGAGGCCCCCAGTTATGAACCTTATAAAGTTCAGGGTTTGGCAAAAAGTATGAGCTTCAAGATTGGAGTTAGGGAAGGCCAGTGGAGCTACTGAAACATTGACTGAACGAGGCAAGGTCTGCATCTCTCAATGCAAAATTTTTGAACGAGGAGAGAGTGAGAGTGCAGGGGACGTGGTAGTACGACAGGCTTCAAATTAAAGAAGACGTCGTAAGTGGAATGTGGAAGCGGATGAGGAGCGTTAGGAAAATATTGGCATTAATCACAAAGTATTGGCTCCCGTGGAAAGCAGGGGGAGTATATCCTAGTTTAATTTTGTTTTTTGGCCGAAAGTATGTGCTAGTGCGTTTGGATTAAAATTTGTAAATTGAGGTTAAAATAAAAACAATGCAAAGTTATTTACACACCTGCCTTCATTTTGAACCTAAAAGCTAATTCAATCAAATTTTTAGCGTGGTCTAGAAATAGTCTTTAATTTATAAATTTATAGTTTTTTATTATGCCAGGTCGTTTTAGTTTTTGTTTACAGTGGCTAATGGTGATCTGTTACTTCTTATAATGACTTGTTAAATTTATAATGAGTTGTGAAGAAAAATGAATAAACCATGACAGCTAGGGCAAACAAGCAAAAATATTAGTAACCACGATTTTGGTCATACAATGTCCAACCAGTGTTTTAAAAACTAAATAGGTTATTGGATTAATAAATACATCGATACACGTTTCATTGATTAAACCGTGGTCAAACTAAAGTTGAACTGATTTTAATTAAATTAATTTGTTTAATTTTTATATTATAAAAAGAATTAAATTAAATAAATATATACTAATAACAATAAAAAATTATTATAATTTATTAATGGTTATAGTTAAGAGAAAATTATAGTAAATATTTAACTTTTTTTCTTTCAATCATTTTGAAGGAAAAATTTATTTAGTAGTTTTCACTCTTTCCTATGCAGAAAATTGAAAAGAACAAAAGATCAAGATATAAGGGGCTTGTTTCATTCTGTTTTTTGTTTTTATATTCTGTAAAACAATTTTATGGAATAGTTTTCAAAGCAAATTTTGGAAACAAAAAATAAAAAATATTTAAATCATTATTTTAAAAAACATATCTAACTTGGTGAAATGAAGGGTAAAACATAATTTATTTTATAAATATAATTATCATTAATGAAAGCATGATATTTTTTATAATTTTTTCTAATTTTGCAAAACAAAATGTAACAAAATATCTAAAAGATGATATGGTCTTTTTTTAATTAGGAGATGTTCTAGTCTTTTAGTTTTTCAGAATAACTTTTAACATTTTTTTTATAATAGATAACAAAAAGTGAGAAAACACATTTTTAAACAGATTTTTTTGATTTTTTAGAATAAAAAAATATTTTGAAAATAGGTAATCAAGCCGACCCAATGTTTCCTGATCATCTCCTATCTACCTATTTGAATTTTGATACCTTGTCAATGAGTTTATCACATTGTCCCATGGTTATTTCCCTTCTGCTTTTTGACTCAAATTTTCCTCCTTTGAAGCTGAAATTATATCTCCAGCGTCATCTGTTCTGTCCCTCATACTTTATTCTCATTATTTATGCTAAAATTTATACTCCCTCCTCCATTAAAAAAATATAAAATATTTTTTAATAAATTAAATATTTAAAAAATATAAGACATTTTAAATTTTTTTAAAATGTAATATTTTTTTAAATATTATTATTAAATAAATTACTTGACATTTTTTTAAAATGAAATATTTTATTAAATAAAAATAAATATTAAAAAATAAAATTATTTTAAAAATAAATAATTATTTTATTAGAATAAAATTTAATTTAAAATATTTTATATTTTTTAAAAGGGGGAGCATGTGTTTGACCTTTGGATAAATTCTTAACCCACTAATTTTACAGCTGGCAACACCGATCACCACCAACTTTTTTGCCCAATTCAAATTCCTCTCACTGAACTAAGCAAATTCAACTCCAACTGTCAGGGACGCACCGCGTTCACAATAAAAAGGGGCAATTGCTCCATTGAACTCAGCAAATTCAACTTGAAATTCCACTTGCCACTTTTAAAGTTACAATTGCCCCACCGAAAAATTAAAGGAAAGTCGCATCTAAAAACCTCCCAAGCAATTTATTCATGATCAAGGACCAAACAATTCTAAAAAGAAAAATCACAGTAAAGGACCTCTCCATAATTTTATTTATCAAAAAGGATTAAATAATTCTGAATTTACCCAGCAAGATCTAAAAAGCACAGTGTAATTAAATTTTAATGTGAAAAGATAAAACTACATCTCATAT